AAATCATAGATTTTAATAAATAAATAAAAAGATAATGTAAAAATATATGTTAAATCATAGTATTATATCGGTTCTCAAAGATTTGTAACATTTTTATGATTTTCATTTGATTATCTTCGTACATATATACATATACATATACATACACATACATACATACATATATATATATACACATATAGAGGATCGATCAAATGAAAATCACCCTCATTTATAAAACCATACAAACTACCTTCATACGTCGATTTCATTGTTTAATCTTATAAAAAATTTCATGAAATTGTTTCATATAATACTTTTTTTGATGAATTTGTTTCATATATGGTTATGAAATTGTTTCATATAATACTTTTTTTGATGAATTTGTTTCATATATGGTTATGAAATTGTTTCATATAATATTTAATGAAATTTTAATGAAACTGTTCATGTATTTCTCTAAAATTAAAATAATGAAGATGATAACATCCATGATTAGCACCCTCCACAATAAAAATGGTTAATCAACCTCTCATAAATACAAAATAATAAACAAAATGAAAAATTATAATTGATTGATTGAGATTTTCATGGTTTTTACAAATTGAGTGGTTTATATATATATATATATATATATATATATATATATATATATATATATATGGGTTGGTTTCACGTAAGACCAATCTATTTTCACGAGATCACTTTTTTTACATTTGAAACTTCACAGCAAAACATTTTGAAGATAAAGAAATTCCAATCCTTCTACTTGAAGTTTCAAATGTAAACAAGTGACTTCTTAGATCTCACAAAAATTGACTATTTTCACGTGATCCTAAGTCTTTCTAGTGAGAGAGAGAGAGAGAGAGGGGTTCATACCGACTGTTTTCACGTGATCCCCGTCTTTTAATTATTTTACAAAACCTTTTTATGGAAATAAATTATCCGCTTTTTTTTTAATATTAAACTACATTTTTCACACTTGCACACATCAACATCTACCTTTTCTTACATTCCACACAAACTAAGGTTCATTTAGCAAAATACCCTTCAAGCAAGATTATATCTATCGTATCTCTATAATACGAGGTTTCGTTTTATCGTATTAATCAGCGATGGTACAAAAACATCACCCTATGAGATAGTATACGATGACAAACCAGATGCGCGAATCAACATAGTATTCAGCAAGTCAGACACAATACAAAGTACTATCGAAATACACCCAAGAATTGATGGACCCTCTGTAAACTTTACCAAACCATCGTACACTCGAATCACAAATATTTTAATAGAAATTGGATATGCGAAAATTTTACCTTTGGTAGGAGCCAAATTGATTGTTATGGCCTCCACTAAGGCTAGAGAAGAAGTCGTCCATATCTGTTGCTGTTGTAGCTGTTGTGAAACTAGTGGATTTACCGATCCCAGATCCTGTACCCATAGCTCTACCCATGTACAAAGAATTTGGAAGTCCCTTGTCTTTCTCCTCAGGTCCAACAGACAGACCACCCACAATTCCAACATCCGTCAGATCGACCTTCTTGGCTGCACGGAAAAACCAAATATCAGAAATATATACGGTTATGCATATAAACCAAACAGATGGCCTTTTTTGTTAACCCCATAGGGTCCTGGAGATCAGCCTGGAAAACCCCCCAATGGCATTGGAGAGACTCAAACCGGTGATCTTTAAGGAGACCCAAAGGCCCAAGCCTTTACAGAAAGTGAGCTAACCTCTCAAGTTTACCCAATCAGATGGTTCACACATACAAGGTCAGCTTTTAGCCTGTGTGATTGTCTATAGATAGATAGCCTCGGATATAAACCAAAAAGACACTATATCTCACTCAAAGGTGGGGGTCTAGGAGTGGGATATTCACAAACCTGACCTCGAACCCCCAAAGAATAAAGTTGTTTCTGTGAAAATCCCCGGCTTGTGAAAAGCTACGAGTATCTGGTAATTTTTTGTAAAAGGCTGAACAAAACCTTTCCTGGTCTATATGCATTTCAATTACAAAAAAATAAACCTTACTTTGATGGGCATCCAATCTTATCATATATGAAAAATAGTTGCATCAATTTGATGGATTTTATATATAAATCAAAGTGAACTTAGTTAGATAAACAAAAATGGATTCAAAAATTGATGATGACAGATGAAGCTTTAGAACTGAACACCGGAGTCCTTCATGGTGTAAGTGGTAGTTATAGCGAGTTTGGTGTTGTATCGACAGTGTTCGTTGTATATTTTCATAAAAGGTAAAGGAATTGTAAGATGTTTACTAAGGAACTGCAATGTATAGAATAGAAGCTTTTTTTCTTTTCCTTTCGGCCTTTATTCTTATTATATTTGATAAAAGTAAATCCCATTTGGCCTCTGCAACCGCCACATTTATATCAATATTTTCGGTTCAAAACAAGTCAAACTGACGAATGTTTCAAGAGAGGTTTGGTCCTAACTAAGGAGCCGTTTACCAAACGCTTACCCGGGTAAACGCTTATCAAATAACATTACCTCACCGGATGAATATGGTAAGGACCAAGAATCTTACCCGGTAAGAGCAAGACAAGGACCAAAAGTCTTACCGGTATGTGAGGGCGACGACTCTTACCATGGTAAGCGCTTACCATGTAAATTGTTGCATACGATGTCGTTTTGGTGGACTAAATCTTACCCGGTAAGTAGATAATAGTGTTACATTTTACCGGTAAGCACTTACCAGGTAAGTGTTTGGTAAACGGCCCCTAAATGACAACAAAATCACAGCATTACCTTGTAAGCAGGGAAGGGATAGGAAAAAAAAGTGTAACAAAAGTGCCACAAGTAGGGAGCTCCTTACAATATATCTACATTATTGTAATATTATTTATTTATTAATAATTAAGAAAAGTAGCTTAATTCTATTAAAGTACACGTAATACTATTACTATAGGATACAATTTTTAATGTAGAGAGCATGATTGGAGTAACAATTATAAAAAGACTCCCTACACTAATTTCTAGACAAGTAACTCCCTACATTAGTTTAGATGTAGGGCGTATGATTGGAGATGCTCTAACTAGATGACAGAGAAAAACAATTGAATGGCGCATCAATCAACATGTATTTCATATTTAATAGGTGAAATGTACAGGAAAAAATTAGAACAAACAATAATTCCTTTTAAGTTATCAAAGCCAAACCTACACCCAAGGCCCTATTTTGCTCAACAGCCTTAAATGAGACTTTTATTATATAGAAGTGACATTATCAAGCCTGTCAGAAGGTCACAGATATATAAGATAATTGTGAGAAGGTCATTAAAGCAACGGACCACGTGTCTATAAGACATCAGGCTACAAAAGCAACTTACTTAAGGCAAAGCAAGATGTGAGGTGTTGCCTAGGAGATCCTGGCCCATATATCAGAACTTTTGGCTACGAGTACTAACACAAGCAGAAGACTTTCAAAGGGGGACGGGGTGCAGTTGTTATTATACATTGATATGAAGGGCCTTATTTCTTCCTTCAATAATCTGTTGAAGATAAGTAAATAATAAATTAGGATTATCTGAGAAGTTCTTAGTGTTATGTACCCACATTAGGCCCAAGCCCATCCATACTTGTTATTCTAGAAGGGGTTAGAAAGGGTATTTCGGGTAGTTACTTATTATAAATCTAGTATAAATAGAGGTGTGGAGGGGAGTAGAGGTATCCATAAATTTGTCCACTGATTTTGTTTAGGAGAGACTAGCCTCTCGCATGCTAGATGTTCCCAATTTACTTTCCTTTAATCAGACAACCGATTATTTCTTCTCTTTGATCCCATTGTTAACCAATTGAGAGCTTGATTCATAACAAATGGTATCATAGCAGTTTGAATCCATGGCCAAGGAATTGCAGTGGTCGTATTATGTGTTTGAAGACATGGCATGTGATATGATTCCGCAGAAGAATGAAACCCGGAAAAGGAGGTGGTCGATATCCATTCCATTGTTGCCGACATTAAGCTGCAGTTTTGAGACCATATAACCATTATCAATCAGAGTAGTACCTTCTTTTGGGAGTGCTTTGTGGCAATATGTGTTTTCTCGATGGTAGATATTATAGTATCTCGCCTTGGGGCACTGAACCGTAAATTGACTGGAGAAGCTACTACTATAAGCAAAGAATTACTCAAAGGCCCAAAGCCGGTTCTTGTGCCCCTACCTTCCCAAACATAATTGCAGTAGACTCCTTTGAAGGGAGGTCAATTCTTTATCAGTACTTCAAGCTTTTCCATGAGAATTATAAGGAGTATTTGCATAAGTTCACTTTGAATTTGAACTCACACACTATGGGCTTCCACTAAAGAAAATCTTTGATGAGCAGCATTCATTTGCGGGAGACACTCCTGAAGCTACCAAGGCTCACCTACAAACGACTCCAAAGGTTGCCATGTGGTTAATGATGTTAGTTGGGAGCAATTTGGTGAAAGCTATGTGGTCCATGAAATGCCTATCAATGCGGATATGGGAAGTGAAGGTTGGTGGTATCACTATAAGAAGCAGAAGAGTGTGGGCTAGATTGTTGGGACTTGGGTGAAGGCAAAAGCACGAGAAATGAATTTAATATCAAGAAAATTAGTTATATTTTTTATATGAGAGATGGGAAGAAGGACAAGGTTCTGTTTTGGGATTCAGCAGACCACTCAAAACAGGAACCAAATTTGTTATTTTTGTTTCAAATTGCAAGACTTGGCCTCTGGGCTGAGAACATATATGTACATAGGAATATGGGTAACTGTATAAGTTGGCCGAATTACATGAATCACACACCAAATATGGATTACTGTATAAGTTGGCCGAATTACATGAATCACACACCAGTTGAAAGCCCTTGGACTTTGACTAGGATTTTGAAAAGAATGGGTGACAGGGAGATGAATTGGAAAGAATTGGCGTTTGCACCAGCTGGTTGGGAAGATGTAGCAACCGGACTGCACCACTTCCTATACTTTTTCTATCCACCTTGAGGACAAGGTGATTCTTTGGGGGCGGGGTAATGTTATGTACCCACATTAGGCCCAAGTCCATCCATACTTGTTATTCTAGAAGGGTTAGAAAGGGTATTTTGGGTAGTAACTTATAACAAATCTAGTATAAATAGGGGTGGAGAGGGGAGTAGAGGTATCCATAAAATTGTCCATTGATTTTGTTTAGGAGAGACTAGCCTCTCGAATGCTAGATGTTCCCAATTTACTTTCCATTAATCAGACAACCAATTGTTTCTTCTCTTAGATCCCGTTGTTAACTAATTGAGAGCTTGATTCATAACAGTTAACTTATCAGTCCATACTTTTACGTTTTATCAAGTTAGATTAGGGTTATCTTGTAAAGTATAAAAGAAGGCATAATAAAGGACTGCAACTAAATTAATCATACGAGTAAGCATATTGGGCAGGAGAAAAAGGAATAAATAAGCAATAGTATTTATTTTCTTAGCCCCAAAAGTGAGCATATTTGGCAGGGGAAAAGGAATAAATAAGCAATAGTGACTTTTTCTTAGCCCCACATCAACATGATTATCATCTATTAACAACTAGATGTATCAGTTAAATAGAACAGTAAGCTTTCAAATATTGATAAGTAGGTTTGGCTAGCATTTGCCCTCAAAATACTTGATCAAGACCAAGTTGATGTTTATACTGAACTTGAACAAATACGCACATTTAAGGGTAGGTGGTTATTATCCTTATATTAGGGATGATAAAAGAACTAAATTGTGCATTGCAAGAGAGATCAGAAAAGAATCAAGAAGTAATGATGCTGGTTGGTCCAGGAAGGTAAAAGAACTATCATCATCGGACGAATGTAAAAATATTGAAGCCTAACGATTACTTTACAATGTAGCTCCTCTACATGGAAAAGCATGTACAATATCTTGGAGCTGAAAGCTCGATTATATTAGAAGTTTGAACATGAAAGGTCAAGGTTAAAAGTCCATCAAAAAAGTCAGGTGTACAAATTTAGCATTCACTATAACGTTTTGAAAAGGTGCCAAAAGAGGACGCTTCATATGGTACAATTAAAATTTGATAAACGAAGACTTCCTCCTACCAATAGATGTTTATATGGTGGTCCTCTTTCAGTTTCATGTAAGAAAAGCAGGTGCAATACTTCATTGGTTTGGGGTGGGGAATTGAGAAATCCAAAGTAACTAGAGGTAGAGTTGAGATCATGGGAGAACAACCCTTTTTCATCAGAAGGTGAGAACACCTATGAGCCTTTGGATGAGTTGACTATTTGATCTAACAGCTAAAACCGCAGACCTTCGATTGATCACTGATAAAAAAACACAGACCATCATCTACCTTCATCTTCACCTTTAGTCACATTCACGAACTTTATATACCTCCATCACTTTCACATGCATTAATTTGTTAAAGTTTCATTTATGGTGATAGAAATAGGTAAATTAAGGTAGATGGAGCTAATTAAGATAGATGAAGATTTGTAAAATGCAGATAGATGCAGGTGGATGAAAGTTACAACAGATGAAGGTTTCTGTTCTAACATTCTCCCCAAAAAATTCATTCTCACGGGAACCCAACCCACTAGAGGTATCCTTCGCATTTAAAATCTTATAGTTGTGCACTGTTCTAATCTTAGTGCAAAATGAATTAATGGTTTATTCAGAGTGTGCCAAAGGACTATGGCAATCCAAATTCAAAACTAAATCATTAGTTCTCTTAGAAGAAAATTATCATCAAAGTTCAAAGTTATATGCCCTTTTACTTTAGTGGCTAAATTAAGGGGTGTTCTCTGCTAACTGAGATCAGGCACAAGAGCATTAGTGGAAAATGTAACAGAAAAAACAAGACAAGCAATCTTGAATTCATTTTTGGTATTAATGGCAGAACGAATTCTGGACAGAAAGAGCTACTTACGTCCAGATATGTTGAGATCAATTAGTCCACGGCTCAACGAATCAGCCCAAACTCCAGATTTCACTTGAAAACTATCCTTCTTTATTGGAGGTGTAGATGCAGCACGAGTTAAGTGGTTTTCGTTGTTTGACCTGCCACCGTCCACGAAGCTCTGTGTGGGCTCTGTAGATACTGAATCAGTATGAGAAGAAAATGAACCAAAAAAGTCGGAATTATCAAAATTGGTCATTGGAACAGCAGCAAACGGATCAACTGGTTTGGTTGAGAATGCGTCAGGTTCTGAAGGCTTGATCTCAGGTTCCACTACTTGTTCAGGAGCCGCAAAAAAGTCTACAGCTGGAGAAACAGCAGAACTTGCAGGTGGAGAAGCAAACAAATCAACTTTATTCTGCAGAAGATGCCACAAGCTTTATTATTTACTACACATCCCGCAACTGTAGTATTAGATGGAAAGAAAATGGCATAACTTAAAGATAGATAATTAATTAGTGCATCTGCAAAAGGATCTTCATTTTTTGTCACTAGAAATCATTTTAAACAATACTTCGATTTTAAGAGACCATTTCATGGCAATCCTTTATGTTAATTCTATATGCTCATTCTTCTGGTTCACAATAGGTGCTAGATCACACAAACCCAGGGAAAGAAAGAGAGAGAAATAGAGATAGAGAGAGAGGCAGAGAAACAAGATACGGGGAGCCCTAAATGAAATTTACTGTGGTATTAAACTGTTAAGTTTAGTAGGCATAATGAACTGAGATTGATCTCTAAACAATTGATATTAGAATAGAGTTCACCTCAGATCCCGATGTTCCCCCTGTCACATGTGATGGTGCTGATACGAAATCAGCATCAGCGAACAAATCAACCTCTTCTGACTGATTATTTCCATGGGACTTCTCTGTGGGGCCAGATGCTGGTGCATCCAGAAGGTCACCAAACAAACTTTGTCCAAACAAATCCACTTGTGGAGAGGTTCCAGTAGCTGGCTCTGCCAAACAGCCCAACAATGTATCAATAAACAACTATGTTTACTATCCTCAAAAACATTAACATAACCCAAAGGAGTAACATCACCAAAAATGATGGTAAAAGAATTCCTAGGACTTTGATAATAAAAAGCATTTTCAATTTCATCTAATATTAAGAGCAAGCTAAATTATGCCATCAAAAAAATGGTAGAATTTGCAGAGAGCTTCTATCTGTTAGCATGACCGACACAACACATAGGATACATAAATATAACAGCAAAACTCCTACAAGTCAATTAACTGCCGCTGATGTAAAATGAGAAAAAAAACAAACAAACAGATTTGCTTTCTTTTATGAGATAAGAGACATCGCATTTCTAAAAACATCTTCATAAACTTGGATAACTAGAGGTATGAGGAGGGGAACATCTTATCTCAGAAACTTCATAATTATCTCAAGGATCGAGAGATTTTGAAAAATTTACCTACTAAACAAGGCAGACTTCAGATAATCATTGCAGGATAAAATTGCAAAACATACCTACTCAATCATGACCAATGCTTAGTAGTTAGATGTATCAAGAACTGACTAAGATCTTCTGTCTATCTCAAGTGGAAACAAAATCATCCATCTGATAACACGTTCACACAAAATGTGATTTGTACTTGCCTACTCAAAATTACCTTCATCCATAGATGTATTTACATGACATCTTACTTGTACTCAGACATCTTGCATGTCAATTAGAATAAAAGTCAGAATTAACTGATTCTCATCTCCAACATGTTGATAATTACTTCAGATATTTCTTTTTATTGTAGTACTGATATTATATGAATGCAATTTTAGCAGGGGAGCTCATAACAGGACACTCATGTAACATGAAGACCAAATTCGCATGTCGGTAAATATGACAATGAGGAGACAATGCATATTAATCTGTAAGAAAATAGATGCAAGCACCCTAAAAAATGGAATTGTGTGAACAGGCACACACAATGACACAAACAACCCCTCCCGAAACCCCTGCTCCGCTAAGATAGAGGAAAGATTTTGGAGATTTTATATCTGTCATAAAAGCTAGTCAATTAAGTCATGATCTTAGCTGAGATCTTTCATACAGTAAAAAAAAGACTCCAGGTTGAGCAAACTGAATAAAACTGTCTTTTTGCACCACAGTTACTAAAAAGTCATGAGACTATTAACACTATCCTTTAAGAATCAGACAATTAGATTTCAACTATCATGTGTGTTGCTAGCTATTTTTCCCATAATAACTTGAATGCAATTTTCATAGTTCTATATTTTCACTTTCAGATCAAGATCTCATAAGAACCAGTATGACCACAGGTGCTTCCAGTAAAACCAAGTTTAGCCATCTCCACCATATGCACAAGAACCTAAAAATAAGAAGTAAAGACTACCAACTTTATCAGTTCATCGAGATTTCAGACAGTTATGTTGGTTGAAAATTTGATGATAACAAAAGTTACTACTTAGTCAAACAACAGATATAAAGAATTCATTCCTCAACAACCATCTGGAATGTCCAGTGTAGACAGTACGTTTGCCAAACAAACATTATAAAATATTTAAGGTAAGGAACTCATTATCAAATTGGAGGGTGGATCACAGCTTCGGAGGTTGACATCGTAGTGAAAAACTTACTTGCATTTGATGTTCCTCGAGGATCAAAATCATCAAAATCATCTTCATTGTTATTTGAAGGTGCACTTGAGCTTTGTGCTGGAATTGTTGAATACTTTTCAGAAGCACTCTTTATTGATGGTTTTGATGCACCAGTAGCTGAAGAGTCTTGAATGGTGCTGGAATAAATTTTTAAGTATTACAACAAGATCACTTAACATATTACAAAGGCAAAACAATAATTTCTACAGGCTTTTCCCAGCCTCCTGTAGACAGCAGAAAGATGACATAGTAAAAGAAAACAAATAACTGGTGAAATTATCCAGGGACATCCTCAAAACTCTTCTATACAACATAACTTACAAGAGTAAGATATCAAAGCAACATGCAAGAACAGAAATGCTTGCAACAGGCTAATTCATTTTCCTGATTATAAGATGCTGGATAATTTTAGAACAGATTACGACTACATCGATTTAAATATCTCCATATTGATCTTGGCCATAGATAAGAAAAAACCTCTACATAACTATGTTAAATAATTGCCAATGTACCTACATGCTCCTATCAGAGTATGCATCTTATAGCAAAGAGAAATTTGATATCTCGTTGATGACTATTACCAAACTGAATAAAATAAATGAAATGCTCAACGATAAAGCTTCTTATTCCTACAATGCCAAGGTCTAAAATAACTGAAAATATGCTAATATCTAGTTGGAAGTACAAAAAGCAGCATGAACATTCTATAAATCTTCACAAACCCCCAAATGCTTGGGATCAGCATAATAAAAAAAATCCTTGTTCTGAATACACCTTTCTTCAAAGTTACCCTCTGCTACTTAAACTAAAGTTATCGTGGCAAATGTTCCCATGCCAATATTGGTCGTCCTCTCCTCCTCTGTCTCTAGCATTATCATACCTCTTCATGGTGTATTCTCTTCATCTTCCAAGCATATTTTACATAAATTATATTTATCGAGTAGAATTTTATAGTTTTCTTTATCATCCACAATCCTGTTGCCTTCTCATAAATGTATTCCCGTTGCAGTTCATAATTTTCCAATTTAAAATGCATCCTAACACATCTAGCATTAATAAATATTGATAACAGCTCTTTCCATCGAAACCACCTCTAAACATCTGTTGTATCTCATGAAAAAAAGTCCAAGCAGTTTCTTCTTGAGTAGACTTTTGCTAGTTTCTATGCTATATGAGGTAACTCGGCTCAAATATTTGTTAATTTGGTCTTTTTACTTTTATTTGTTCACAATACCTCCTAAAATCCCTAAAAGCTTCAAACAAATAGCTTACCAACATACAATCAGAAGTAAAGTTGCTCTACCAACATGCAGGTAGAAGTCCAACATTATACGATAGGCATTGCAAGATTGGAAGAAAGGGTGGTTTTTTCATAATGTTATATTGGTTAATTCTAGTTTCTTCAATAAATCCGAATTGATTTTATACCAATTTTATGAGGATTCACGTTAAAAGGGATTAAATAATTGTTTGTTTTCTCTTTAGTGGTACCTAGCGTTTTAGTGTCTTTCCGTTCTCCAGATGGTTTTAACGTTTTATTTCAAGATAAGTAGAGTTCGAAAATCCCCAAGGTTTGCTAATTGGTTATTGATAACCGAAAAAACATTGTGCGATATCATGAGTCCTCTCTATCTTTAGACACAATTGTCTTGAAAGTGTTGCTCAAGAGATCCTAAGCTTCCGTGATTGCCTAATTGCTAGTTATGTTATTGTTATTACCAAATCTTTATCCATCAATATCCTTGTCCTTCACCATCAAAGGTATAGACAAATGCCACTCAAAGAAAATTCCATATACATTCCCTGATTTTGCCATCCAATTTACATAGTACAGCTATACTGCCATCTAGAATAGCATCACATCCCCTTTGATCTGTTCTTAATTACTTATGTTAACTCCAAAACAAGCCATGCTAGATATGTTTTTAATATATGTGGTGATGTCAATTCCTAACTTACTCTATCACCAAGGATTTTGTTCTAATAACACAGCCTAGATCATGGTACAACACCTTGTATATTTAGTACATCTATCATTATGGGAAATAATATAAATAGTCTAATAGCAACAGCCGCTTGACTTCTTGGAGTAGAAGTCAGCGTACAAGCCCTAATCCCACCCCAAGTGGGAAATACTAGGATCACTTGGTTTAGCTAGTATAATAGCAATAGAAACATTAAAGCAACACCAAATACCATCACAACAATGGTAAACATCAAAAGTAATAATAATCATCAGAGTGTAGGAATGTCAATAAGATTTAAAAGAACAAACAAACCACATGAGCATAAAGGAGATCTTTCATCGTGTATGGCAATAAAAAGCTCATAGTTTGATGCTATTTTTATCTTATGTCACAGCTCCATCCCTTTTGCGCCTCCAGACAAAATGTAACCACTTTCTGCAACCATTAGCTTTTATAAATGAACGAAAATCATATTAAGATCCTTCTCGTATCCCTTTATTACAAAGAACTCAAATAGGTGACCTATACATTTTCAAACTGACTTTTCATTATCATCATATAAATCAATTATGAGCCATAATATGATTAATCTCTGCATGCCACCTATGTTTCCATTTGTTTTAAAGATAATTACTCCACTCAGGCTTCAGCCGGCATTACAAGCCTACACACCTCAAAACCTGATAAACTTATTTAGGACAGGGAAGAGAAGTTAGTTGTAATACTATCAGTTTCTTCATGAATACTGCATCTTAATCAAGCAGCTTCCAGAAGAATTCCATTATCAGTATTTCACCACCTCCTACAAGAAATCCTACACATATAAGTTGCACACTTAACACAAGTTCGGTTTCTAATCTTTAGCATTTGATCCTTTCAGTTGCACAAGTTGATAAGTGCATTGCTGGCAGTTAATTTTTTTCCAGATAGAAAAAAGGTCAAAAGAACATCAAATATTTACTTGTGTCATGGCTTTCTTTATTTTTATGGCAAGAACATTCACATCTTGCAATACTTGTCTCCTAGATTTTTCTCTTGTTTAGAGCCATCCCCGCTTGAAGACCTTTGAGTACCTAATTAACACCTTCTCCTTGAAGAAACATCTTCTGGTGCCTTTTTTATCATTCTTCTGGCACATTTTTCATTAACTAGTGTGATCAATTGTGTTTTATCTTTTTCTGGGTAGCATGCAATGGTTTAATGCCTGTAGGCGGTATAAGACAGCATAAACAACCATGAACCAAGTGAATTGAGATTTAGCTAGAATAAATTATCTAGCACAGTTCTTGATCAAGCATACCTCAAATATATGAGCATAAAAAAACTCTGCATATGTAAGTTGCAAGTATAAAGATCAAACCTTCCATAACGAGACGACCCTTTCTTTGAGATGCTCCCTGAGTTAGTGCTACTACCTTCTCGGCGTGGCTTATATTTACCTGGTTCAAACCTATCTTCACTTGATACCTCCCTCTCCTTAAAACTATCTTTGAACGTTTCACCATCTCTTGAGCTACCAAACCCACCATAGCGATCACTTCTCTGAAAGCTACTGCTGCTCAGCGAGGCTGCCGACCCTGACTTAAATGTTATTCCAGTTGATGATAATCCAACGTACCTAATAATCAAATAACATAGTTCCTCATCGTAGTGTAATAAAAATTACAGTAAAATAAAATATTAAATCATTTCATTTTCTAGAGACTGTCACTTACTTATCACGGTTTGCAGCAGCTTTGTTTCTAGCTGCCTGTATCTTATCTTTATCGTTCAGCAGAGACACTATGTTCTCAACTTTTTTCCTCACATTAATTCCACTGTCTTTTCCATTTGGTTCAACATATTCGAAGCATGAGAGCGACTTGCGATTACAAGACGAGAGCATGGAGATTCAGATGAAAGTTAAATACGATCACTAACAACAAAAGAAAGATTAAAGAACTGAACAAAAGAAAGATTTCAAAAGTAAGAAAAGACATACAGAGATCTGGAAAGTGTGTTCTATAATGTCATCAACTGCCCGTTCAGAGCCATTTGCCACCAAATACTCTATCACAGCTAATGCCTGGAATAAAATGTCTTAGAACTGGAGAGACTAAGAGAAAGATCTAGAAGCAGAAAACTGTATTAAGAAGATATAAAGTTTTGGTTGGAACTATGCAATTAGTTTGACGCACTAGAAACACAAACAAGAATTTCCATTATTTTACTCGACAAGTATTGCAAATGTGAAAACAAAAAAGTTAGTACCTTGTACACATGACGCCAATTGCGGTCAGTTTCAGTTAATCTAGTCCACAAAACGTTCATAACCATCTGACATTCAGAGCTGGAATACATATCAAGTGAGCCAACAATCATCTCCTTCACTAAGAAGTTTGGAGAAAGAAGAGTTCATTATTTGTGAATGTAATGAATAGCATCAATTACAATTTTTTAGTCGCCTGTGCAATCTCTGCCAATGCAGTACCATGTGGACCCCAAGGTTCATCATCAGTTGCATCTAATACCTGTACCAATATCACTGAGGTTAAGCAAAGGAACAGATTGCTTGCAGATATCTAGTCATCATTTAAAGTAGATCTTGGTTAAGAAAGTGCAAAGTGGACGGACTGATTCCATTATGCTTTAGAACCAAGTGTTTAAGCTAACAATTGACCAAAATTTTGTAACAAGATCAAACTACCAAACATTTTTCACTGCTTTTCCTACTATATACCAGAAATTATAGTATGCAAAGCTAATCAGTTAACGCTGTCGATTGTGGAAATTGTGGTTGGAACTGTGATTTGAAATCACAGTTATTGCAGTGAAAAAACGGTGGTATAGCGGTAAAAAATTTGGTTCATAAAAATACAAACATTTATATATAAGAAAACTTGATAATATTGTATGCCCAATACATATCAAGTAATACAAATAAAACCACAAAAGCATCAAGGTGGTGGCTGGTAGAAAAGGAGAGTAAGGCTGGTGCTGGTCGAAGTCGAAGTGGAGGATGGTGGCTGGTATAAAAGAAGAGTGAAGTTGGTGGTAGTCGAATTTCGAGGTTGTGTGGGCCGAAACCAATGACCTGATGCAATCGAAGAAGCTTAGAAGAAATCAAGAAAAAGGGAGTCTGATCTCTGATGAGTGATGACATACAAAGCTTGGAGCCTTGGATGAAAGGGACGACTTCTATTAGGACAACTAAAGGTCTAAAAAAATGGGTTGCTTTAAGCCTTATGTTAGGAGGCCAACTAAAACTAAAAGAAAACCAGCAAATATTAAACCAAAGCCCACTAAATACTGAAAAACGTAAAGCCCCAAACACAAAAACAGCCCAGAAAAGATTGCGGTTTAGCGGACCGCTATTTAGGGATAAAATTGTGATGAATAGGGGAAATTGTGCCGCTAAATGTGGCACCGCTATAATCCACCGACAAAATTGCGGTGAATAGTGGGGAATTGACAGCTAAATGAGGCACCACTATAATCCACTGCTATTTTAGAACTGCTATTCCTCTGACCGCAATCCGCTATTGCACCACTATTAACTGCATAAAATTGCAAAATACTTACCGTAAAAACAAGTTAAAAAGGTTACTCTGCTTTACAATACTTCTACTTTGATGCAGATTACAGTTTAGACATCAATAATGTTACTGTGGACAAGTGAAGCTCGTTACTAGATCCAAGGACAATAAGAATGTCAACATAAGTGGCTGGCAGAATGCAATTTAGCCTATCTTAGTCTAAGAGCATAAATGACAGAAAAAGCTGATGATCTCCAAACCCCACACGCGAAGTGAAGTATTCAACTCATACAAAAATTGGTATGATGTATGAGCAGATTTCAACTAAATATTGGGGTGTTAGATTTATTTATTTAAATGTGTCCCACTGTAAAAATGTAAAGCTCATACCAATTTAACAGAAAAGCTTCAACATACATAAAGTGCCAAAAAACGGACAGGAACAAAGAAGAAAAAAATCATAAGATTGCATATAGAAGTTGTAGGCTGCAATTCTGGAAGCAACCAAACTGCAATGTTAACATCTATCAGATTTGGCCATCAGTATGACTTTGATACCTATAGACTACAGTATCTAATGCTTCACATAGGCTTACCTGGGTGAATTTCTAATAAGATTGCTCTAAGAAATATCATTGCAAGAATGAAACATTTCTAGTTGTTTGTTTACCTCTTAATAGTTCTATTAAGAGGCAGCCTCTGAATCATTGAGAAGTGAATCTTGTTTGGCAAAAAAAAGTTTGCCTCTTAATTGTTCCAAAATCCTCTGGGCCTCCCTTAACCATTCAGCACCCTAATTTCATTGTAAATAATTATCAAACGATTATATTTCATTTTACACTATATAATGTGAGCCTCTTAATCATTCTGATCACTTAATCATTCTACCTATGTTCAGCTAATGCAATATTTTATTTAAGAAAAAAAAATTACTTAAGTAGCTATACCCATTTAGAGCCTACATGAACACCCAATCATGGTGAATATAAAGACCCCTCCTCCCACTGCCCATGAAAGACTCTTCCTCCAAAGGCATACTCCAAGTTTATAATGTAACTATAAGAAGTTGAAGTCCATCTTTAACACAATAGCAAGTTAATTTCTTCCATCTTCCGAATACCCAAATTGTTGCCTTTTTAATCGAATTATTCAAATCCTGAAGTTCGTAGTGGTCTAGAACATCATTCAAAATCGATTGCCGGTAGAAATCTCTGAATTCTTGATTGTTGGCAATATACGAATCCATTTTTGATTTGCTCTCCTAATCAATCATGGCTTGATAATCAAATCACGAATTTACTTCAACGTTTTGCAAAATATTTATATAATGTGTACGACTACAAAGCACAAAAGATAACATGTTACTGATATTTTAACCAAAATATTAATCAGATTCAGAGGAACATTATCTTTTTTTCAATTTTGCCAAACAGCAACAAAAGCACTTTTGGCTACTGATAGGCTTTAGCTCAACAAACTCAAATCCAGAAAATTAACACAAACATATTATAAAATAACTTGATCCGGGATATTTCTAGAATCATATGACGATACGAGTAGAGATTTAGACAAAATTCAGATTAGCACTTCTGTATCAAACCATCATGCTATTATGATCACAAAAATCATGAACCATTCAGAATTAGGTCATTTACCGCTAATTATCAGAAGAATGGCTATTGACCCATTCAGAAAGATGAATACATGTGAAGTAATGATATAATAGAATCAATTAATCTACATAAATTCATCCATAATTTGCACCATTATCATAAATTCCTGATACAACATACTTAAACATCTAAGAGTGTGTTTGAAGTTAAGCTTACTAATATTTAACTTTAGGAATTTGATCTATGAAATCCTTAAATTCAAAATTCACCAACTATTCCTAATCAGAAATCTAATACCATATCAAATGCAAAAGGATATGGTTCATTGCAGTAACACCAACATTATTCTGTTTGTAGTATGTATAATAAAGTTTAATCCAGTCAAGAATCTTTTTCTCAAAATCATATCAATTTTTAAAGTTGAAAAGCTACTTTGATTACCATTTCCAGTACCCGTGGTGAATTCATATCAACCCTAAATCTTAAAATCCAAGTAACCGAATTCCTAAATTGCTTATACAATACATGTGTAACTTCGTTCCTGAAAGCTACAATTACAAAATCAAAGCAATAAACGGTTGTTATTACCTTCTGTTCAATCTCAGGAACCTTCAAGACTTTCAAATTCACCTCCCTCTTTCTGCAATTGGGAAAAATCAAACGAGCGTTGATTAGATATCGAAAAACGTATACATCAAATTGGATAGAAAGAAGGAAATAAAGCTTACATCTCACGGACTGTTTGATCGATCACCTTCATGAAATCCATCCTTGATCTGTAACAAAACGGATGAATGAAGAATTGGGATCTTTTCAAACGAATGGGAATGGATCTGGGATGAATCGTTTTGGTTACCTTTGAATCGATATCACAGGAGAGCGGAATAGATATAGATCTGTATGCACGGAAAAGGAATTTTTTTAGTTAGTTTTTAAAATAAAACGAAGGGACACAACACCAAAATCTATATATATATATATATATATATATATATATATATATATATATATATATATATATATATTACAGAAAGAACCAAGAGTATTGAGATGGCATTATGAGGATTAAGTATTGATGTGTTGGTGAATTATGGTTGATTTTGAGATATTCTATATTGGTGAAGAGTTGAAATATTTGAAAAAGATGAAGTGTATAAGTAAGGTGAATTGGATGTCTTTGTGTCAAATAATGTGATTTGCCTTATAGGGTTGTTTTTTTTTTTTGATAACCCTTTTTTGAAATTGTCACACCCCGCTAAAGCGGAAACACGAGGTATGGCAGGTAAAGTCTCATAGCAATAGAATATACACAACACCACCGTATATTAAAATTTCATTACATCACCATCATATGTTTACAATCCCAAAATGACA